TCAGCTTTGCTTTGCTTCTCATCGTTTATAACCAGTAAAAGTACACTTAATTCTGGAACATGGAGTTGAGTGGTTTCTTTCTTGGTTATTAAATGAAGGGGCAGTGACAGTAAAAAATACGTACAATATTCTGCAAATGTTAAAAAGAGACTAAGCAAACTAAACAATTCTTTAACTAAACTCTTGTTACGATAACAAAGGTTGTCTAAGCTACTATTAAGATTAGCAAATTATTGAACGTATCCTTTTGAAAGAATAAACTGCTGTGATTTAACCACCCTTTTGAGAACATTATAGTTTCCGACACAAACCTGGATAGAAGAATTCATGAATGAGCTGGATACCATCTTCTCTTCCATAGAGAATGGCTGCCAGGATAGCCAACGCTCAGGACTTGTAGTTACTGTGCTACTCCAGAAAGCCTGAAAAGCAGCAACAGCAAGTTCTGACCACAGAAGTGAAATTTCATCAGCAGAGACCTAAAATGAAAGATAAAAAGGCAAAGGTATTAAAGACTTCTCAAATCCGATGGGAGTTTTAAAAATTAATATTCCAATCAATGGTGGAAAGTGTTTGAAAATGTTATTTTTTGGAGCAAGTGGGGGCTACCTGTGGACCACCATGTATATGCTCTTATATTTCATCATCTTTCAACACTGGCTGTATTAGGCAGATCTAATAGCATAGAATTTCACAAACATCCGGAAAGTGATTTGTTGCCTCCATCTCAGGCCTAAGCAGAATCTGGTCTGGTGGTGGTGACATTTAAGGCAATTGTTGCGCACAACGATTCAACTTAAGGTTTGAAACTATGGTCCTTTACAACTAGGAAAATAAATCTATCTCACTTAAAGAACAAATACAGACAGGGAAAAATTATCAGATGGGCTGTTTATGTACAAGTAGTCCTCGACCTATGACCACAATTTCAGTCAAAAATTGGGATAGTAATAAACCATGGCTTATGGTGATGGCGAACCTATGGCAAAGGTGTCAGAAGTGGCACACAGAGCAAACTCTCCGGGCACACGAGCCATCTCCCATTGCTCTTTCCAGTTCCAGCGCACCGACCAGCTGGTTTTCACATATGCAGGAGCTGAAATGGGAGCACCAAGTGCCAAAATGGGAGAATGCACGTGCATGCGAAGATCAGCTGGCCAGTGCACATGCGCGAGCCGGAAACCGGGAGATCATTTTCCTTGCGCCCACATGTGCACTGGCCAGCTGGTGTTCGTGCATGCATGCATGTTCCCATTTTAGCACTCAGCGCCAAAAGGTTTCGTCAAATTGGCCTATGGCCATGCCTGATTTTACAATCTTTTTAGCGAACATGGTAATTGTTAAACAAACATCATAGTCATTAAGCAATCCCATTATTTGTCATAGGGCATTTTGGGCTGGAAACCAGAAGTAAATGATGGTTTCTAGTAAAAACATCGTACATTGCAGTAAGCAGATGGCCATAAATGTGAGGTGGTTGCCCAAAATGTGGTGAATATTCAGTTTGCTTTTTTTAACTCTACCATGAGTCTGATTTACATATTTCAAGTTTCCCTTTAGCTCCTATAAAAGAAAATCAATTTTTCTACACAGTTAAAGAAGATGAAATAAATTAGTTTTGTGTTTGAATATCATGCAATCAATCACTAAAAAGGAGGGAAGAATTCATTCAGCTTTAAAGTGTTATTTTTTTTTTTACCTTATAACAGTCTAGTAGGTAATAAAGTCCTTGAAGTTGTTGAGAGGTAGCTGGTGTCAACTTAAGGCAAAAAGCAATAAAGGGCCTTATTTCTGAAAAGGTGCTTAACTGATCACTGTTGTTATTCCTGAAAATAATGAGAAAAGCAGCTACTGAATCTTAGCTGTTTGTTTGATCACACTCATACTAAAATACAGCAATAATGAAAAAGCTAAAAGCCAAGATAAAAATTACCGTAATACAGGATATAAGTATATATCCAAGGCAATCTGTATGTTCAAAGTAGTTCAAACTGAGTAAATTTCAGGAAATTTGGCCATGAAATCAACTCTATACCATACAGTTCCTTACATTTCAGATAACAGAATTTAAGCTTAAAAAAAACCTCTCTATCTATTTATAAACCAAACTTTTTTGTAACAACAGTGGCCTATAAAAGCTTGTAAGTATTGGTTATATTATTTTAGTATGGGTACCCCTTGGGTTGCAACCACCCATTAAGCAACAACGGGGCTGTACGAGGGGAGTCTTCCAAGTTGTGGCTGTCCCTAGAATCATATGATCACAATTTCGTTATTTGGAGCCAGCACTTATGAAATATCTCCTGGTTATGTGATTGCCATTTCTAATATTCCTTGCCAGCTTCCCACAAGCAAAGTCAATGGAGAAACCAGCGGGAGATTGCAAATTGCAATGTCACCCTGCTGCTCCCCCCCCCAAGAGGCCCCAGGTGGCAGGGTGAGTTTAGGCTCTGGGCAGGTAGGGGATTGCCTGCTGGTCACTCCTGACAGGCCATACCTTTGCCTCCCTGCGCCCCTCAGTATTGTTTTTTTTATTGCTTTTTACTGTATCAGGAAGCCTAGGTCAGATTAGGTATGGCCAGGTGGATCTGACCACCACACTGCAACATTCACTGGCACTTGTACAACAACAACAACACCTCACACCATAATACCCACCCACATGCCTATGCACATTGTGCACTGCAGTACCCATCCACACACTTGCCCACATTTGCTCTGCAGCACCCATCTCCACATCTGCCAACCCTTGCATCACAACACACACTCATCTATCCCGCCTGTCCTTGTGCCACCCCATAGCACACTACTATACAAATGGTGTCACCATGTAGCATAATCCCATCATGCAGCCATTCTCAAACTTAGCTGTAGCACACACACCTGCACTCCGTAACACTCACTCACCTGCCACCATACTTCTGAGCTGCCTAAGAAAGGCATGTTGTGACTGGGACTAGCAACATCCTGCTGGCTCCCCCATTGACTCCATGCTAACAAGGCTAGCTACTTCCTTAACTACCGTATTTTTCAGAGTATAAGATGCACCTTTTCCCCTCAAGAGACTGAAAATCTGAGTGCGTCTTATACATCGAATACAGCATTTTTTGCCTCCTGAAGCCCTGCCCCTTCACCAAAGTGGCCGTGCATACCCTTATGGAGGCTTTCAGAGGGGAGGGAGAGAACAGAAATGAGCAAAAAACGGGCCTTTTTTGCTCCCCCCCATGCCCCCAGCAGCACTCTATAAGCCTCCATAAGGCTATGCATGCATTTTTTTGACAAAATCCAGGCCTGTTTTCACAAAAAACGGGCCACTTTTTGCTCGTTTTTCCCCCCCCCCCCGGAGCACTCTGCAAGGCCCTCCCCCCCAT